CCCGCTGCGGTGGCATCCAGCCGCGGCCCGGGGTGGGCGTCAGCGGGGGGTGGCACGCACCGCAGCGCCGGTGGGGCTCGGTTTTGGGGATGGAGGGAAGGGAGGACAGGGGGAGCGGGCTGCACGCCGTGCCTCCGTCCCCTGGGGGAGCAAAATGCGTGGGTGAGAGATGGGCGATAGAGGTGGGCGATGGAGACGGGCGATCTCAGGCTTTACAGCAGCACAGGCAGCTTCGTGCACAGGCCGTGCCGGTGGCCGTGGGGACAGGGGCTTGCATGCGGCTCATGGTGAGCATGCATGGAAGGAGGGATGAGGAAGGGACGCGGAGGTATCCCCCTGCCCACAGCTGTCCTGCCCCTGGACCCAGAGTGGGGGAAACGAGCTAGGCCCAAAGGCATTGCCACTGCTCATACCTGTGGTGAAGGAGGCGAAGAGCCTGGTGTTGCCCTGGGCAAGGGAGGTGTAGCTGACCCAGCTGAGATAGAGCACCACGGGAGCCCACACTAAGACCACCATGTACCTATGGGGTAGAGGAGATGTCAGAAGCAGTGTCCCACGGGGTGACAAGCGAGCCACCCCTCGCCATGGAGGCACTGGTCAGGACACAGCGCAGACCCCAGGGCTCACCACGCCGTCTTGGAGAGGGACTCGATGAAATCCGAGTGGAAGAGGCGGGTGGGCCCGGCCCCAGGCTGGGCGTCGTACTTCTCGCCCAGGTAGCCCACCTGCCACAGCAAGGGCTTCTCCCAATCCACCAGGTCCTGGGGGAGCAAGCAGCGGTTATAACCCCGTGGGACCCAGACATCACACCCTTAAAGCTGTGCTGCAGCCGTGGGATTTCAGGCTGCAAACTCCTTCACGTGCCCCATGAGCAGCTGCTTCTTGCTCTGAGCAGGCCCAAGCACCCCGTGAACACTGGTGTGGGGCAGAGCTGGACGCACATCACAGAATCACAGAATCGCTCGGTTGGAAAAGCCCTCTGAGATCATCACGTCCAACCGCTCCTGTCTACCCCCTAAACCATATCCCTAAGTACCTCATCTACCTGCTCCTTAAACACATCCAGGGATGGCGACTCCACCACCTCCCTGGGCAGCCTGTTCCAGCTTCTGACGACCCTCTCAGGAA